TACACTTGGTAGATATTTTAACAAAAGCACAGAAACAAGAAAAAGTATTTCACTAGTCCTTCTGTCTTTAGACAGGTTGAGAATCTCTAATCCAAAATCCTGAAATCCAAATACTCCCACATCCAGAACTCTTTGAGTGCCAACATGATGCCAAGGAAATGCTCACTGAAGCATCTCAGATTTCGGAGTTTTGGATTAGGGTTGCTTAACTGCCATGATGTGAATATTCCAAAATCCAAAAAAAATGGGAAATCCAAAACACCTCTAGTCCCAAACATTGCAAATATGGGACACTCAGCCTGTCATGTAACCACTCCAAGGGCAGTCGTTAGGAAATGCGGAGGTGGGGACCGATGGTGCTGAGGGGGACAGAGGCAGTGGGGGCCGGGCCTGGGCAAGGCCACACCTGGGAGCAGACAACCAGTGACTACGACTCACTAACCCCCAGGGTGAGGTTTGGGAGGCCCCCAAAGGCAGGCAGAGCCAGACTTGGCTCCTGCATGAGCAAAGCTGCTGCCCCTGCATGGTCTGGCCTGGATGCCACCCTCTCCCTTCAAGCACCTTTGTTCCTGATCCCACCCCGTGTTTATCCTGCGTGGCCTGTGTAGAGCATGGTTCTCCCATCATGGCCTGGATGCCACCTCTCCCTTCCAGCACCCTTGTTCCTGATCCCACCCCGTGTCTACCCTGCGTGGCCTGTGTAGAGCATGGTTCTCCTGTCATGGCCTGGATGCCACCCTCGCCCTTCCAGCACCCTTTATCCTGATCCCACCCCATGTCTACCCTGCGTGGCCTGTGTAGAGCATGGTTCTCTCATCATGTCCTGGATGCCACCCTCACCCTAGAAGCCCCTTGCTCCTGGTCCAGTGTCTATCCTGCATGGTCTGTGCAGAGCATTGTTCTCCCATTCTCTCATCATGTCCTGGATGCCACCCTCGCCTTTCAAGCCCCCTTGTTCCTGGTCCCAGCTGGCATCTATCCCTGCATGGTCTGTGTAGTGTGTTGTTCCCCCTCGTGGCCATCCTCTCCCTTTGAACCCCTTGCTCCTGATCTCACCCGTGTCTATCCTGCATGGCCTGTGCAGAGCGTGGGTCTCCCGTTGTGGCCTGAATGCCACCCTTGCCCTTCAAGCCCTCTTGCTGGTCCCACCTGACATCCTTCGAGCACCCTTGCTCCTGCTCCCGCCCCACGTCTATCCTGCAGCCTCAGAGCCTCCACCATGCACCCCGGAACCCTGAGCCAGCTTCTTTCGTGGCTAAATGGTTGGTATGAGTGGTTATTCTGTTGATTGTGGATATTTCTCCACTATTTTATTGTTGGAAAAGGGGCTTTTCCCTGAACTAAAATGCAGTGGGTTTTCAAACTCGTCTTGACAAAAACTTGCTCTGTTTCTGTGGGGGGGAAGGGTCCTGCACAAGCAACGTTGTTTCACTTTGAGTGTGTAATGTTTAATAGTGACATCACTCAGCTTTGAAAGTGTGACTAGTCTCTCAGCACTTGCTGAGACACAGGAAAACGAGTGTCTTTATTTCCATTATGATCTGGGACAAATACGTATAAATTCAAATGCCCTCCTGGAGAGTTCGGGGTCTCTGAGTGTACAGTCAGGTAATGCAGCCCAGCCTGAAAGCCACTGAGAGCAATCGTATTTAATTTAAGAAAGGAGTTACGTGTTTCTGCTTTAGATTTTAGAAGGTTTCCTATCAAAAATTGTGTCAATTACAAAGACAGGTACTCCAGTCCCATGCCTTCCTTCGAACACGTGCCTGGCACAGAGTAGGTTGTCTGCGATGCCGGATGGCAGGTTCTGAGCGCAGGGGAGCTGCGTTGTCTGCCACGTGCCCGGGAGTCGGTGGTGATCACTGTGAAGTTCCGGGGTCAGACGTTTCAGAAGATTATATCTAGAATTCCGTGATAGTTGTGGAATTGTTTCTAACAGGAATCTTTGTCCACGTATGAGTGAAGGCCTCCGTCTCTCCTTCTCCTAGCCTCTCGGTAGGCTCAAGCTGCACCGACTGGCTTGTGTTCCACTCCTCTGAGCAGGGACTGCACACATCACCTTCTGTGCCGCTCATGTCCCCACACCCCTGTCTGCTGCCCCCAAGCAGGGCCTGTGTCCAGAGGAGGTCTAAAACCCTGACCTTGGCTGGGCTCAGTGGCCCACGCCTGTAATCCTAGTGCTTTGGGAGGCTGAGGTGGGTGGATCACCTGAGGTCAGGAGTTTGAGACCAGCTTGGCCAACGTGGCGAAACCCCTTCTCTACTAAAAAATACAAAAATTAGCTGGGTGTAGTGGTGGGCACCTGGAATCCCAGCTATTTGGGAGGCTGAAGCAGGAGAATCACTTGAACCCAGGAGGCAGAGGTTGCAGTGAACCGAGATTGCGCCATTGCACTCCAGCCTGGGTAACAGAGCAAAACTCCATCTCACAAAAAAAAACCAAAAAAATAACCCTGACCTGGACAGGATTTTAGAATTGTTTTCACTCTATTTCTGAAGCTCCTCATCTCATCCCACACACTGCAGGGGAACCGATCAGGTGAAAAGGAAGAGAGTCCTTCTGTGCAGTGAGGAAACTTAGGGGAGATTGGAAGAGGCACCGTGTGGGGCCCCCCATGGGCCCATTGTTTCGTGGGGTTGGCTCCAGAGGGCCCAGCCTTCCCTGCAGTTATTTGTCTTGGATGCACCCTGCGGCCAAAGGGCTTCTCACCTGTGTCTGGGCTGGAGCTTGGGAGAGGCGGGGGACTCCCCCTGTTGGCAGGTTCTGAGGAATCTCCGTGGTTTCCATCCTGGGAGTGGGAGGTCCGTCCCTGACACTAGAGATGAAGGACAGGCCAACTTGTCAGGGCTGGGCCGAAGGCGTCGTTGTGCAGTCCCTGCATTGCCGATGCCTCTGCTGGCCTTGGTGGCATAGTTGGCCACGAGGTGCCCAGCAAACACTGTGCTCATAGGAGGAAGTAGGAAGGACTGGAGAAACACATTCGCAGTCTCACTAAGGAGGAAGAACGTGGGTGGTAGCCGTAGCTTCACCCTCTCTCCTGTGTGACTTCACGCGGCCTCTGTGCAGCCTGTGGGCCAGGCGGGGGAGGCCGGTCTGAGTCTGATATTGGAAGAGGGTGGCCACATGGCTGGTAATGAAGTGACTTCTGAGGTCAGTGCCTGGGCGGATGCGTCAGGCCCCTGCCACTGGGAGCATGCCCTGACGGCCCAGGATGCCTGCACTGGGTCCTGCAGCAGGTGTCTGTGAACCTGTGATATTCTCGGGATGGCACAGAGCTGCGGATGCCACTGGTGTTCAGTACCAGCGGCATGGGTGGCGTCTTAATGGCAGTCATGAATCGTGACTTTCCTTTGAGTCTCGCAGCTGCTGTTAGCTGAGCAGCGGTGAGCAATGTTTGGAGCTTTCCTTAACTGGCCTTGGTACTTCTGCCGAAACTGCCAGAACTCTACACGTGAGGGCAGCAAAGCTACTTCCCATTTTTCTGTGCTGTGAACTTCAGCCCTGGGTTTCCTGGGGTCCTGCTGCAGAACTGAGTTACATCCTTAAGCCTTTCCTGCTTTTCCCATCGCTTTCAACTTGGTGCCCTGACAGATATGACGTAGCGAGATTACAGTTCTTTGTCTAGTCTGTGAATTATCATGTGAGATGCACATGCTGAGGCCCGTGGGATGGGGCCTCATGCTCCGTGGGGAGATCTCAGCTATGACAAGAATTTGCCTGGAAGCTGTGGTTACCCATCCCCTGTGATTTTAACACAGAATGCTTATCTGTGCAGGTGAAATGGGGTCGTTGAGTAGGTCTGAGGTCATTTGTTGTCAGTCTTCTCCCTGTTACCCCAGCTTGAGTGCTCCGGGGTCAGAGGCTGCCGGGCTGGGCTCCACCTCTCCTTGCCCTCACCTCCTCAGCTCCTCCCTGTTATCCCAGCTTGAGTGCTCTGGGGTCAGAGGCTGCCGGGCTGGGCTCCACCTCTCCTTGCCCTCACCTCCTCAGCTCCTCCCCTCTCTCCCTGCTCACCAGGACACACACCTGGCTTTCTGCTCCAGGGCCAACCTCTGAGAAGACGCCCATCCCTGGTCATCTTAGCTTTCTCTTTTCCTCTTGTGTCCGCTGCTTCTTAGAGCCATCAGGTGATGGCAGCTGAGAGACTGTTTTAAGACACCACCTGGCCTGATGGCCGTTCTAGTAGTTATGAGGCAAGACAGGTCCAGAAAGTAGTTAGGCTGGGAGTAGGATGAGGCGGGGACCGGACAGAAGAGCTCTTATGGGTATGTGAAATAAACACTGTTAACCTCGTAGCCTACCTTAGTTTAATATCAGAGTGGCACACACTGCCAGTATTCAGACGCCTGAAGACCAGCACTGGCACGCTCACAAATCAGCATCAAAACAGCCATTTTGAGTTTAGGCAAAACTTTTCAAATCTGTCACAACAAATGATTGACTTATATGTGTGTGCTCAATGATTTTTTTAAACTTTTCTTCAGTGTTGATAGCAGTTATTTAAAATACTGATACATTGTCATGGAGTCCATAGATTTCTCTACTGTAGTTCATAACACTAGATGTTACCATGTTCTTCTCTGAAAACATACACCCACAGGTGCACACACATGTTGAACATCGTAGTTTAAGAAATGTGAGGTTTTACACTGCCTGGCTGAGGCAGTCAATCATACCCCAAACCTCAGCACCACGCTCTATACGCTCGTAAAAAACATGCACCTGCACCTCCTGAATCTAAAATAAAAGTTGAAAAAATGAAGCCTGAGGCTTTAGAGCAACCACCTTCAGAAGCCTCACTGAGCCTCTGCTGAAGGGAAACAGTGCACCCGGCCTCAGGCTCCGCAGCCTCAGTGGGGCGAGGAGAAGCCTCATGGTGTGGCTGATGACTTGAAAAATGCTGTTCCAGTTGTGTTGTATGAAAGCACCAGGTAAGCAGCACTCAGTCAAAACTGATTTTAAGAATAGAAACAGTAACCCTCTCTGATCATTCCTGTTAGGTCACGACGGGGCAGTTAACACAGTCTGCTGGAGCCATGACCAGAGGTGGCTGCTCTCCACGGCCCAGGACCGGACCCTGCGGGTGTGGTCGGCGCGTAGGACAGAGCTCGCACTGCTTCTGGTAATGGATGGTCACATCTGCCACGGGCTGTCATTTCCAAAGGAGCAGCCCTCAGCTGAGAGCTTCTGTTTTACCTGAATAGGAGATGAGGAAAGGGACATAAACCAAGAGTTGCTTTAATGGAATAAAAGTTACTGATTAATTAGTTTCTTAAATGTGTGTCTACATGTATATATCCACACACACGCAACAGGCACACGTGCATATGGTACACAGGTACATACTTACATACTGGCCACACGCATGCTTAATTCATACGGTTAAATCTATCCTTATGTTTTTTATGGGCTGCAAATGCCAAATGATTAACACTGAAATATTTGAATGATTTTAAATATTGATTCAGTGTGATTTTATAGTCAAGACAGTAATAATGGCCAAAGGCTATTATGTAGGGGAAGTATATTTTGGGAAGAAAAGTGACATGATGATGAACTTATGGGAGATCATTTGAAAGCAGAACAGGAAAGGAGAGACAGGAAGATATAACCTTAGGACTAGGACAGGGAAAGAACAGGAAACGGTAGGAAACTCATCTTCAAAGCATCAAATACGAGCGGGTGACTTGCAAAGAACCGAACATAAACGCAGTCCAATTTTCAAAGATGTTGGCATTTATTTTCTATGGGTCTTTTATAGAAAGGGGATTGAATATGAGACAGACAAGAAAGGAAGTGTACGTTAGGGAAGACCTAGGGCCTCTCTGAGGGAGGAAGGAGGCGTTTGTGAGAGCCGTGGGCACCACCAGCCTCCTCTGTGTCATAACGTGTTTGGTTGTGAGGTCTAAATTTGAGAGTAGACAGCTCAGAACGACATTTTAAAAAATGTTTAAAATTTCAGCTTTAATAAAATCCTTGCTACTTAGTATGTTTACTGTTAAGTTTCGATTTTCTTTTAAAGTTGTTAAAGGGCTGGAGTTCAAAACATTCATTACAGTAAAATTTTAATTTTATAATGCCTTTCAGAAGGAGTAGGAGGAAACAAAAATTGTAGATTGGGTCTAACAAATATATGTACACATTTAGAATAAATAGATGTTGGGTTTTAAAAAGAAAAAATTTTGTGTTTAGAGCAAAGGTGTTTTTGTTGACATTTATTCTATTGACAATAATTACTGATTTGCATTACAGGGCAAAGACATGTTTTCTAAACCAATACAGTCTGCACAGTTTTATTACATAGATGCCTTTATATTGTTATCTTCTGGCCCTGAATTTCAGCTACTGAAGTATCACATTGACACTTGCAAAGATGAGATTAAGAGGTAGGCGGCCCTCCTCTCTGCATTATTTTTAGGTCAGAGGAAGCCGTTTCAATAATGTGGTGTTAAAAAAGGTATTTACCTTTTAAAATGTCACCCCAAATTTAATAATAACCTCCTATTACCAAACTGCTGATGAGAGCTGAAGAATCCAGATCCTACGCATGTTAAATCTTCCTTTGTGTTACTGTGCGTGGGGCCTTTGGAATGACAGAAGGTGAGAATTTGGGGGATTGGAGAAACCGAACAATCGTCTCGGCCTGCAGCATATTGAAGTGATGTCATGTGGGACAAATACTATCGATAATAAAGTTAAATTATGAACTGTTTCAAATATATACATATATATGGGGAATAATACGCATCTTCTTAGCTACACCTAGCTTGGACAAGTATTAACATTTTTATTATTTATTTATTTATTTTAGATGGAGTCTCGCTCTGTCACCCAAGCTGGAGTGCAGTGGCACACTCTTGGCTCACTGCAACCTCCGCTTCCTGGGTTCAAGTGATTCTCCTGCCTCAGCCTCCTGAGTAGCTGTGACTAAAGGTGCATGCCACCAGGCCTGGCTAATTTTTTGTATTTTTAGTAGAGATGGGATTTCACCATGTTAGCCAGGATGGTCTTGATCTCCTGACCTTGTGATCCACCCACCTTCGCCTCAAAAGTGCTGGGATTACAGGCGTAAGCCATCATGCTTGGCCAGTATTAACATTTTACTATCTTTGTTTTTCAGATTTTTTTTTAAGAATAAAATATTACAGAGGGAATTAGGAACCTGTCTCCCAGTCCTGTCCTCTTCCCTTTTTCCTCTTTTGAGATTGTTATATTGGCTTCCTGGCTGTAGTTTTATATTTTTGCTGTATCTCTAGGTATTCACATCATTTTCTTTTTTTGAGGCTTTGAGTGTAATATAATCACACTTCTCTTAATCAAAGTTACATTTCTGAGATGTGTGACTTTGGTTTGTTAATTGGGGTGGATGCCCTGCGGTTGGGAGGAGCCTGAGTCTGCCTGCTTCTCTCATGGAGGGACTTTGGGTTGGGACGTGCAAAGGGTTGGTTCTTCTATCAATAGATGGGCTTGCAAGGAATCCCTGATCTCCATGAGAGTGTCCCCACTCTCTCTGTCCCGTATCACAGCATCCCGGAGTGACTTCTGGCCTGTTCTGGGGGGCAGGGGGTTGCATGTAGGGAAGGGCTCCAGGACTCAGTGGCCCTTCTCTCAGCTTTCTCTTCAGAGATGCCCGGGCCTTTCAGTCCTAAAGTTTATTTTTACCTATTGGGAGGGAGTTTCACAAGTCAGCTCACCTCCCAGTGTGCCTGTCTCAGCAGGCACAGCCCTTTGCCTCTGAGAGTTAGCGGTTTCTCTTCTTGATCCTGCCTCCTCCTCGTTCTGATCTTGTGGGACTTTCTCTTAGAAATCACTTGGCAGCCACTCCAGGTGGGTGTTGGAAGGTAGAGGAGCTGAGGCATTTGCTCAGTTACATGTGGGAGGTAGGTAGGATTTTCTAAGTATGCAATGAAATACCCTATAGAAAAAACCAGGGCGTTTGACCACAGACTGAAGGAGGAGGGGGTGGCAGATCTTTTATATCTCAAAAATTACCACAAATAATTAGATGTTAATGGAAAACCAGTTTTTTTTTTTCTGAAGAAAAATTAAGGTCGCCAATTCACTTTTTCCATCAGTATTATAAAATGTGACTTCTTAAGTGATATGAAAACTTTCTTTTCATGTTTAATGTTTCTAAAGATAAGATATTTCTCTTTAAAACATTGTTGTAGGGGAAGGAAAGCAAAAAGATTGGTCATCTTGATTTTCTCTTCCAGATATAAACAGAGGAGCAAATCCAAGCTGGTTTGCAGGCTCTCCTTGACGGATGCAGGAGACGTGACCTGTTTATCAGCAGTAAACGACTTTTATTCCCGTATCCTTTCTCCCAGATCCTGTTGGGTTTTATGCCCGAGTGTCGTTCCTCTGGCAGAGGCATGTGCTGAGCGTCTCATGAGTGTCAACATCATGCAGGGCTCTGGGAATGCAGGGACCCTCCTCATGAGCCCACCGTCTTCGTGTTAATTGTACATGTAATAATTTCAATGTTGAGAAGGGCCTCACAGGAAACAGAAACCTGAGTGCCACGCAGCTCATGCCATCCTGCAGGTGGGCTGACCCTGCACTTCTGGTGTAGACAGTGTTGACTAATGTGTGTCATTTGGTCATTCTATACCATCTGCAGAACTGGCAAAAATCATAGCGGTTGCCATTCAAAATAATATGAAATGGAATTCAAAACTTCAATATTTGAGATTTTTACGGCTAACATCATTCCTTTTAATTTTAAAAGTTGATTTTAATTTAGGGAAAAGTTCCTGATCTTTAGGAATTCATTGTATAAAGTTTTAATTTACTCAAAGTTAGATCTAAGTTGAACTCTATTGGCAGGTTTTATAGTTGAATTAAAGTGTTAGGAGGTTGTAGTATGTTTTAGTTAGAAATGCAGTAATTCATGCTAGAATAGGTGCCAAAATGCCTAGCAGAAATAAGAAATATGTCATTAGGATTATTGCAGCCTAAATGATGTTTTCTGGAATACAAGGGTACTAGCGTTGAGAATGATCCAGCGCTAACAGCAGCCTTCGGGTCTCTTGACTCCAGTGCACCTGTATTCCCACCAGATAGATAGACTCATGACTGCAGCATCCAGGGCTGAGCATGAAGCTTGTGGGGTGTCGGTGCTCACAGGAGTCCTCAATGTGAAAGTGCTCCTTTTATGTCAAGTTGATGAAGCACATCATGGCCACCTGCCAACATGGCACTGTCGGGGTTGTGTGCTCCCACCATAAAGCCTGCCCCAGGGACTGTCGTCCACTCTGTGGGTCTGTCTAATCTTAGTTCAGTCCTTTCTTCTGAGCACAATATCTATATATTCCATTATTTGACATCTGATTTAGGTGTTTCATGAACATCTTAAACACCACATATCTAAAACTGGAACTCCCACCTCAAAATAGGCACTGTGGTGCTCTCGCTTTTCCTAAGCAGCCCCTCCATCGCTGCCCACCTGCTCTTGCCAATGCCTGAGGCCAGATGGGGTGGAGATGGACGGAGCTCAGGACTCTTCCAGTGGAACTTGAGAAATTCTTAACTAGTCGTCCCTTCATGAGTCTTCTAATATTCCAAAGTTTTTATTAGTAAAAGAGAGGGAACTGTCCCTTCCCTGTGGGTAAGAGTGTTGAGAAGAGCTCCTTAACTGGATCAATGCAGACATCGTACTCACAGCTGGCCGGAACAGGACCGTGGAAGTCTTTGATCTCAACGCCGGCTGCAGTGCAGCCGTGATAGCGGAAGCCCACTCGCGGCCTGTCCATCAAATCTGCCAGAATAAAGTAAGTTTTCGGATAATAGATATCATCTGTAAAACTCTGTGCTTAAAGTGTTTAACAGATACAAATGTATGATGCCATTTTATAAGCGCTTGCTACCAAATTGTTAATTTTTATTGCTCATTCAATTATTCGAAGCCTGATGTTTGACCTTAGTAGATATTTTACTATCATGTGGAATGTTAAGTTTTGTACTTTTGTGTTTGACTATTTTTGGGCCGATACTAAGATTTTACTAGTAAAGCATTCTCACATAAAACTTCATAGGGTTGCATATTTTAAGCAACAGTGGGATTGCATGGTAGACACACAGGTGCTATGGACTGTGGGGCAGCCTTGCCAAATCAATAGCTTTTTTTTTTTTTTTTTTAACGTGGAGGCTGTTGGATATACTCAGTCCATTTTGGCAGAGACAAAGTTTAGAAATATCCGCAGTGGTGGGTTAAAGGGTTGGCATTACGGGAGAGACGTTTGATGAGTTTGTTGTCTGGTACCTGCATGGTTCAAAAGACACTTGGGTACCTAAGAGGGTGTCTAAGTCTTGGGAGGAAAACTGTACTTCCTAGGACTAAAACTGCAATTTTGGTTTTTGATATGCGTGGAAAGGTTTTCCAAGTCAAGGATTCAGGGTATCATTTTGCTAAGTGAAGTGCTGGTATGTTGGTTAAAGAGACTTTGTTATCCACAGTTTAACACATTTTGAGTCTTTAAATTTCTGTTTAATAGGACAGGTATGGCCTGATTATCTATAAAGTTTTTTAATCAGTTCAAATGGGAAAGAGCAAAGATTCTGGGCTGTTAACTTAAATTACATTGAAGCAGATTTGTTCCTGTGCCTCTTCTGCGTAAAGGGGAGATGGAGGTGTTGGGGCCACAGGAAGACATTTACAGGTGCAGCATGAAAGACTCCTGGATTCAGAGGCTCTGTGTCCAGGAAGACAGTCTCCACACATGTCTGTCTGGACAGCTCTTCAGAGAGGCAGATCTGGGACTTGGCAGTGTGGGGTAGTCAGAGCTTAGCAGGCCAGGAAGATGCCTGCCGGGGGAGGCTGCCTGCTGAGGAGAAGCCAACCTCTGTGCCCTCCCTGTGGGTCAACCTTGGTCAGAGAAGGGAAGATTTAAAGGCTCTGATAGGCATCTTTATCTTGCCTTCCTTTTTTTTTCTTTTTATTGCATTTTAAGTTTTTGGGTACATGTGCAGGACATGCAAGATAGTTACATAGGTACACACATGGCAGTGTGATCTGCTGTCTTCTTCCCCTTCACCCACATCTGGCATTTCTCCCCATGCTATCCCTCCCCAGCTCTGCCCTGCCTCCCCCGCTGTCCCTTCCCTATTCCCCCCAATAGACCCCAGTGTGTAGTGCTCCCCTCCCTGTGTCCATGTGTTCTCACTGTTCATCACCCGCCTATGAGTGAGAACATGCGGTATTTCATTTTCTGTTCTTGTGTCAGTTTGCTGAGAATGATATTCTCCAGATTCATTCATGTCCCTACAAAGGACACGAACTCATCGTTTTTGATTGCTGCATAATATTCCGTGGTGTATATGTGCCACATTTTCCCAATGCAGTCTATTATCGATGAGCATTTGGGTTGGTTCCAGGTCTTTGCTATTGTAAACAGTGCTGCAGTGAACATTCATGTGCATGTGTCCTTATAGTAGAACGATTTATAGTCCTTTGGATATATACCCAGAAATGGGATTGCTGGGTCAAATGGAATTTCTATTTCTAAGGCCTTGAGGAATCGCCACACTGTCTTCCACAATGGTTGAACTAATTTACGCTCCTACCAGCGGTGTAAAAGCATTCCTATTTCTCCACATCCTCTCCAGCATCTGTTGTCTCCAGATTTTTTTAATGATCGCTATTCTAACTGGCATGAGATGGTATCTCAATGTAGTTTTGATTTGCATTTGTCTAATGACCAGTGATGATGAGCATTTTTTTCATATGTTTGTTGGCCTCATGTATGTCTTCTTTTGTAAAGTGTCTGTTCATATCCTTCGCCTATTTTTGAATGGGCTTGTTTGTTTTTTTCTTGTAAATCTGTTTGAGTGCTTTGTAAATTCTGGATATCAGCCCTTTGTCAGATGGGTAAACTGCAAAAATTTTTCCCATCCTGTTGGTTGCCGATTCACTCTAGTGACTGTTTCTTTTGCCGTGCAGAAGCTGTGGAGTTTCCTTAGGTACCATTTGTCTGTTTTTTGCCTTCCTTTTAACCTTCCACGCCCCATCCCCACAGTCCATTAATAGGACATTTCAAGTTGCAACAGGAGAAGGCTTCTCTGGTTTCAATAACACCATGGAAATATCAGTTTGGGGAGAGCTGTTGGAGAAAATATTATTTTTCTGCATCTTCTCTTTTTGTTTAGACTCTTCCTGCAAATAAACCAGAGCAAACATGTTTTTAAACATTGTGCAGTAGGTCTCTGAGATGAATGAAGGAATACCTTTGAAGAATCTGTAACTTCTTTATGAGGCTATTAAAACGGCATATTTCAAAAACAAAGTGGATCCCAGTCAAATCAGTGCTATGTGTAATACTCCATGTTTCTATTTTTTTCTGGAAAAACTGTGAAGAAAAAGAAGTAAATTAGGTAACTTATGGCAAGAAAGGCAGCACCGTTTGTATATGAGAGCCATGATTTGATGCTACTGATTTTGCAGTAAGATCTGTCAAGATTAGGCAAGCATTTGATTATTAGATTTTATATGTTTCTGGGCTTTTAAATGAATTTAATAATTGAATTATTAACTTTTAAAATTATTGTTAGCCTAATACTCATTATCATCTTCTTATGATTTTGAGATAGAGTCTTGCTCTGTTGCTCTTGTTGCCCAGGCTGGGGTGCAGTCTTGGCTCACTGTAACCTCTGCCTCCTGGGTTCAAGCAATTCTCCTGCCTCAGCCTCCCAAGTAGCTGGAATTACAGGTGTGTGCCACCACACCCAGCTAATTTTTGTATTTTTAGTAGAGACGGGGTTTCGCCTTGTTGGTCAGGCTGGTCTCAAATTCCTGACCTCACAATCTGCCCACCTCGGCTCCCAAAGTGCTAGGATTACAGGCGTGAGCCACCGCGCCCTGTGAACCCATCTTATTTTTTAGATATTATGGTGCCTTTTAAATTCAAGTGCACCTTAATGAGATACTGATGGCTAATATTTGGATGTAGGTTGTTAAAGTATAAGTCTGACCTACTAAATTTATTTAGTGAAACTTCCAGGCAAAGGCATTTGACTTTAAGACACTTGGGTGCAGACCAGGGTTTGTGCTGTCTTCGTGTCTGCCCTTGGTAGTGCCCAGAACCTGGGATCTGCTCACTCGACAGGTGCAGATTTGAACCGTGACTTCTGTTACCAACAGAAAGCAAAGGATTCAGTTCTTTGTATAAGAAAGTAGATGTAAATCTAGAGAAAAAATGCTTTCTTCAAAAGACTCGTCAGCACATAGATTTCAGAGGTTAAAGTCTGACAAATAGTATTTAAAATTTGTTGGTGTGTTATTTTCAAAATGCAACATATAAACATTTCTCTAAAGATGAAGAGAAGCCTCTCGTGAGATGTTACATACTTGTCTGGTCAGTTTTTCTAAAGTCTGTGAGTCTTTAGATAATACAGTTAAATCAGAATTGACTAAAATTTCCAAATATTGCCATTCTTGAGTTAAAAATTTTCAGTTATGAAGATAAATGAATCTTATATGTGAAGTTTCTTTCATGTTGCGAATTTTACTTTTTTTTTTTTTTTGAGACGGAGTCTCACCCTGTCACCCAGGCTGGAGTGTCGTGGTGCAAGCTCAGCTCAGTGCAACCTCTGCCTCCCGGGTTCAAGCAATTCTTCTGCCTCAGGCTCCCGAGTGGCTGGGATTACAGGCATGTGCCACCACACCGGGCTACTTTTTGTATTTTTAGTGGAGAGGGGGTTTCACCATGTTGGCCAGGCTGGTCTTGAACTTCTGACCTCAGGTGGTCTGCCTCCTAAAGTGCTGGGATTACAGGCGTGAGCCACTGCGCCCAGCCAGTTTTTCATTTAAAACGTACTTCTTACCATGCTTTTTGACACTGGGTGCTTCTTGTCTCAAACATTGTCAAGTGTTAGAAAAATATTTCTTAGTTACTTAATTTTTGTGTGGGTTGTGCATGACTCTCATTAAAGGTGGTCATTTCAAAGCCAATTGTAATTTATTTTTGGTGTTTGCCAAATGGTCTGTCAGCATTTCCATTATTAATCTCTACTTTCTTTCTCATTTTGTTCTTTTCTTTCTGAGTTTATGACAGAGCCATAAACCTTGGCCTAGATTAGCACTTGGCCTATTAGAGCTTAGTCTGAGATTTTTTTTCAATTTAGTTCCCAAGTTTGTTTAAAATTGTTCTAGATGTTTAGGTTGCAAATGCAAAATATAATTTTGGATTTTTCAATGCTTTCTAAATTATAACTTAAAAAATAACATGGTAATTTTAAGATAATGGTAAAGGTAATTCTTTTAACTTTAGCTAACCAATTTTCTCATATTTTCAAGAGAATTATTTCAGAAAATGATATGATGTTATTTGGTGTGATCTTGTAATTTTGCTTCCTTTCTTCTCTGTTTCCATTTTGTAATGGAAGAGTTTCTAACCTTTTGCATATATAAAGTTGTTCTCTGTTAAGGGGTTAAATGCATGTAAATCTCTTAGCATGTGCTAAGTCCATTAAATGAAAGCTATTTTTCTTATTTTTGAAATATAAATGTATGCAGGCTGATGGGTACTATTTTAGAAAACTCTTAAGTTCCACATGCAACTACTCTCACACAATTCTTGTTCCTGTGAGTTTTAGGGATGGATGCACAAGAATTTCTCCACCTGCGGCAGAAGATCAGAAGCCGAGTTAGATATGGTTTCTGATTTCACAGAAATTACAAGGCAGAAGGTGGTAGTCATGGGTGGAATAACATCCACAGAAGGCTGACTGTTTTAAGCGCCATAAAATGACGTGAAATGGCTGCCAGAGAGTAGAG